ATATTTTTTCCATTAAATTTTTTAGTTGGAGACTAATTACTTTACAATATTATAGTGATTTTTTCCATACATTGACATGAATCAGCCACAGATTTACATGTGCATGTAAAAATTTAAAGAAATTTTGAACCATAACTTTAGTGAGGAACATATAACTACTAATGTTAAAAAATTAGCTAGTATCCAAACCATGGCTAGAGACCATCTTCACTCTTACACATGACCCAGATGTTGAATTTAAAATGCATATTTCCTTCCACAGTTAAAGCAGTACCCACTGATAAAGTAAGTTTCAATTTGAGCACATGAAATTAAAGAACATTGTTTACTATTTCAGTTTTATTAAATATGAGGCACTGAACATACTACNTTGGAACATAAAGAAGGCTGGGTGCCAAAGAATTGATGCTCTAGAACAGTGGTGCTGAAGAGACTCTTGAGAGTTCCTTGAGCAGCAAGGAGATAAAGCCAGTCAATCCTAAAGGAAATCAACACTGAATATTCATTGGAAGGACTGATGCTGAAGCCTCCAATACTTTGGCCACCTGATGTGAAGGGCAGACTCACTGGAAAAGCCCCTGATGCTGGGAAAGATTGAGGGCAGGAGGAAAGGGTTGGGGGGCACAGAGGATGAGTTGCCTGGATAGCATCATCGACTCAGTGGACATGAATTTGAGCAATCTCCGGGAGATAGTGAAGGACAGGGAAGCCTGGTGTGCTGCTGTCCACGGGCTCACAAACAGTCAGACACAACTTAGCAGTTGAGCACTGTGATCAAAGACATATTGTATTTATTGTTTTCATAATTTTTAAGAATTAAAAAGTTTCATATAATTATCTATATTCACAATGCTATGTATCTATCAACACCATCTACATATAGATCTTTTTCATCAGACACAATATAACCTCTGTATCCATTAAGTCATTATTCACCTTCCCTCTTGCCTCCTGGCTTTGGTAATTTCTATTTCCAGTTTCTGTGAGTTAGCTTATTCTATGTATCTTAAGAGAGTAGAATAATAAAATATTTGTCTTTTTGTGCCTGCCTTATTTCACTAACTATAATTTTTTTTTTGTATTATTTGGGCCATCCATTGTGTAGCATATTTCAACCCTTGATTTATTTTTATGGCTGAGGAATATTCCATTCTGAGCACATATCATATTTTATTTATCCATTCATCACATGATGGTCTTCGGGTATTTTCCATTATTTGAGTGCTAATAGTATACTGTGAACATTAGAGTACAGGTTTCTGTATGTTACCATGATGATGATAAATAATATTGTGCATATTTAAAATATCATTAAATGTAACAACACAAAGTGTGAATCTCAGGTGAACTATGGATTTTTAATTACTAAAAATATAGTATCTCACTAATTATAATAAATGTACCACACATACATTATCTGTGAGTAACATTTGCTAGCTGAAACTGAAGTGATGGGGTACAGGAATTGTCTATATTATCTGTACTGCTTTTTTGTCAATGTAATCCTGTTCTAAATAAATTCTAATAATTTAAAGAAATTTGAAACATGGCTTTAGGGAGGAACATATCACTACTCATGTTAAAAGATCAGCTAATGTCCAAACCATAGCTAGAGACCATCTTCACTCTTAAGCATGAACCATTTGTTGAATTTAAAATGCATATCTCCTTCCACAGTTAAAACAGTACCAGCTGATATACTAAATTTCAATTTGAACACATAAAATTAAAGAAGAACACTGTTTATTATTTCAGCTTTTCTTAAATATGAGGCACTGAACACACTACAGTAATTATTCTTGAGTCAACTTGATGAGAAAAATTCCACAGTACCTTCATCTGGGTCAATTATACAGTGCACACTATTATGTGGCTAACAACTAACTCTCTTCACCCAGCTGGTCACTGATGTTCTTGACCTCCGAGGGATGTTTCTCCTCGCTTTCTGGACAAACCATACTGTGAAATGCATTATAATGGGGAGAGCTGTAGACATCTTGCTGGCAGAGAACCACACGGGAATTAATAATCATTGATCAACAGTCAAATCCTCGATCCCCTTCCTCACCAGATGCCTAGCAGGGCTTCCTGAATCCAAGGTGGAGTTAGGAAGGTCTGCGGTTTATGTGCNTCATCCCTGTGTTCTGGATTTCTTCCTAGATCACTGTCTTCCCAGGACTCAGGTTATATTTATTGCACTTACTACGTTTTCTATGAGACTTTGCTCTTGATTAAGTGTAAGCTCTGTTAGAGGATGTATTCAATTCTACCTTGCCAAATAGCTATTATCAATCCCCAGTACTGAGTTGGAGAAATGTTAATATGGCCTATTTTTAGTATTATGAGGCCAAGAATGATTAAATATAGGTAAAAGGTTAGATAAATGAAGGAGGGACTTACTGGAAGTCAAGTGGTTAAGTATCTGCCTTGAATTGCAGGGAATAGGTGTTTGATTTCTGGTCAGGGGAGTAAGATCCTACATGCCTCAGAGCAGCTAAGCCCACATGGTGCAGCTACTGAGCCCAAGCAGCACAACTCGAGAGCCAGTGCCCTGCGGAGAAAGATCTGCATGGTGCCACGGAGATTGCATGTGCCACAGCCAAGACCCAAAGCAGTCACATAAATAAATAGAAAAGCTTCATAAATGCTCTGTGAGAATTCAGTCTTTTTTTTTTTTCCATTTATTTTTATTAGTTGGAGGCTAATTACTTTACATCATTACAGTAGTTTTTGTTATACATTGAAATGAATTAGCCATGGATTTACATGTATTCCCCATCCCAGTCCCCCCTCCCACCTCCCTCTCCACCCGATCCCTCTGGGTCTTCCCAGTGCACCAGGCCCGAGCACTTGTCTCATGCACCCAACCTGGGCTGGTGATCTGTTTCACCCTAGATAATATACATGTTTCAATGCTGTTCTC